TTTCTCTTCCAGCCTTAAAGTCAAGGATACTTGTTTCCTCAACCCCACCTATCTGCTAATTGTTCCTGTTTGCCCTTCTTGGTAATTCTCCTGCAGAGGAATGGGATGTCAAAAGTCTTCAGCCTCCCCCTCTAAAGAAATTTGGCAGATTATGCCAGAGTCAAGCTGTACTACCACAGAGGTGTGTTGAATTGCAGCTAATCAGAACATACTACCAAAATACTTAAAGTCCTCAGAAGCCACGTGTCAATCTGGTGACAAATCTGCAGCAATTCCTGCAGCATATTCTCTTCTTTACTCTAAAAATATTGTGAATTTTTAAAAAATCAACATTACAGATTTGCACTATAAGAGTAATGCTTATATCAAGAGTAAGCTAAAACCCAGCAGCCTCCTATAGTATGTTGTGGTGGCTCTTTGTGCACATATTCAGGAAAAAAAAGTGCTCACGTTCTGTTTGTCCATAACCATTAAAATTATTTTGATAGACATCTGTTCTGAGAATTTCATAGGGATATGATGATATAAAATTAAACTTGGCATTTGATAGTTCATTGTTCACTACATTTCAGGTAAATGGGACTCACCAACTGAGACTATAATTGTTGAGCAGCACATTAAGAAGTTATTTTGATGTGCTTTAAAAAGTATAATATACAACTGCTTCAATCAAGACACTGAGTGGTTTTGTTAAAAAAAATTTCTTCCAATTAGTAACTTAAATTTAAGGGAATCCTTATGGCTTTCGGGAGTGTTGCCCCACAGGTCCCCGGATGTGGGATTATTCCTTAGGTTGGGCTCTAGAAATCAATTGGGATTGTTGCTGTTGTACCAGCCTCCCTGCTGCATAGGAACCTCCCTGCCTGAGCTCTTTGACTTCATCTCATCTCCATCTAGTGGAGTTCCCCACACTTATGGTTTGGGGGGACTTCAATCTGCCTTCTCTCAGAGTGGGGTCTGAGGTGGCTTGGGAGCTCATGGCTATCATGACTGAGGTCATCAGAGCCCAATGAGGGATAGTGGTCACACTCTAGATTTGGTGTTCCTGTCAAAGCAGTGGCCATTTGATCTGAAATTGGGGAAGTTTTTGGTGTCTCCTTTGTCATGGTCAGATCACACCCTGATTTCCATGGGATTCTGTAGCACCACTACCCACTGCAGGGAGGCTGGACCCATTAGATTGGTCCACCCCCAGCGACTGATGGGTTTCAGAGGGAGCTGGGGGTTCCTTCTGCTGGTCTGCTGCACAGTCCATTTGAAGTCTTGGTTACCACTTGGAATAAGAGGGTAGCTGAGGCCTTAGATCGGATCACGCCCATGCGACCTCTCCCCTCCCATAGATTCTGTCAGTCCCCATGGTTTACGGAGGAGCTGAGGGAGAGGAAACAAGAGAGGAGATGTCTAGGGCATCACTGGCGTTCAGTCAAGGTCAAGCTCAACCGGACACGGGTTAGAGCCACTATTAAGGCTACCTTGCAGCGATAAGGGCAGTGAAGCGACAATACTTCTCCAGCCTTATTGCATCCGCAGATTGCTGCCCTGCAGCCCTGTTTTGGATGAACTCTTGGGTAAAGAGTCTTGGAGCACCTTTTGCAGGGGTGTGCAGAGGAATTTGCTCAGCATCTGTTGGATAAAATAGCTCAGATTTGTTCACAGGTGGACGCTGTTTTTACTGTGAATCCAGAGGAGATGCCCAAGATGGAGTCTTGCCCAGTTATCTGGGAACAGTTTGAACCTGTTGGACCCGAGAAAGTGGACAGGGTACTTCAAGCTATGAGTTCAGCCACCTGCTCCCTAGATCCATGCCCCTCCTGGCTTGTAAAAGCAGCCCAGGGAATGTCATGTGAGTGGGCTCTAGTGGTGGTTAATTCTTCTTTGAGGGAGGGGGTTCCATTGCCTCTCAAAGAGGCTCTGGTACACCCTCTCCTCAAGAAGCCATTGCTAGATCCCGCTATACTGGACAACTTTTGTCCAGTATCTAACCTCCCTTTTTTGGGTAAGGTGGTTGAGAAGGTGGTTGCACAACAGCTTCAGAGGGCCTTGGATGAAGCAAATTATTTGGATCCTTTTCAATCTGGCTTTAGACCTGGATTTGGGAGAGAAACAGCACTGGTCGCAGTTCTGGCTAATCTCTGGCATGGGCAGGATGGAGGTTGCGCATCCATCCTTACCCTACTTGTCCTCTCGGCAGCTTTCAATACCACTGACTGTGGTATCCTTCTGGATCGGCTCAGGGGATTGGGGGTGGGTGGCATTTTGTTGTGATGGTTCACCTTCCTCCGGGGCCAGTTCCAGTTGGTGGTGGTTGGGGAGGAGAGATCCTGCCTTCAGCCCCTGTTACGTGGGGTACCGCAGGGTTTGGGACTCTTCCCCCTCCTATTTAATATCTATATGAGGCCGCTGGGTGAGCTCATCTGTCACCACAGGAGGAGGTATCATCAGTGTGCTGATGATACTCAATTATACATCTCTGCCCCTGGCAAAGTAAGTGATGCTATGGATGCCTTAGCCTAGTATCTGGAGGCTGTGAGGGTCTGGATGGGGAAGAACAGGTTTCAACTGAACCCTGGTAAGACTGAGTGGCCTTGGGTTTGGGGTCCTGCTGATTCTGGGACTATACCATCTTTGGTGCTGGATGGGATGGCGCTGCCCCGGACAGACCCAGTGCATAATTTGGGGGTCCTCCTAGACGTGCAACTCCTGCTCGAAGAGCAGGTGGCAGTCATGACTAGGAGGGCCTTCACACAACTCCGTGTTGTGTGCCAATTGCTCCCTTTCCTGGATCGGGAGGCTCTGCTCACAGTCACTCATACCCTAGTCACCTCCAGATTGGACTACAACAAAGTGCTCTACGTGGGGCTGCCCTTGAAAAATATCCGGAAGCTTCAATTGGTGCAGAATGCAGCAGCGTGGGCACCTAGAAAAGCACACGTTACACCTCTGCTTCGAGAGTTGTATTGGCTGCTGGTTTGCTTCCAGGTCCAATTCAAGGTGCTGGTTTTGACCTTTAAAGCCCTTCGTGGCATGGGGCTGGGTTATCTGAGGGACCGCCTCTCCCCAGTCACATCAGCCCATCCTATTAGATCTTACAGGGAAGGTATGCTATGTGTTCCATCGCTCAGGAACTTGCATTTGGTGAGTCCCAGGCCTTCTCTGTCATGGCTCCCTCCTTGTGGAACATTCTACCCCCTGAATTTAGGCTCACCCCTTCCCTGCTGTCATTTAGGAAGTCCCTCAAGACCTGGTTGTGTCATCAGGCCCAGGGGTCTTTGGGAACCAGAGACGTTCTTAGATGGCTCCACTGTAATTGATATTCTGCTCTCTCTGTGAGGTTTGCATATTTTAAAATCTATTTTTTAAAATGTGTGATAATGTTTTTATTATATTTTTTATCTTTTTATAATGCCTGTTTTTATTCACTTGTTACGTTATTTTAATTGTTGTATGCTGCCCAGAGTCGCTTTGTGTGAGATGGGCAGCTATATAAATGTAATGCATAAATAAATAAATTTTCTCCATGACCTTTTGTATCTATGAAGTTTTCTTACCCTTTTGCTTTGTGTGTGGAATTACTGAACTTAAGAAAACCACCACTAACTACTAAGGTTGCTCAACAGCTATTGATCTTTGTTACAGTTGAGGTTTGATGGATGGTTATGGAAAGCCTAAGTTATGTTCCCACACTAAATATTTGAATATTTGCAGGGGCCAAGATATGATTGTGGAGATTTCCTTTGAAACTTCTCCAAGGTCTTCAGCACTCCAGTGGTTTACTCCAGAGCAGACATCAGGGAAAAGGCATCCATTTCTTTTTAGTCAGTGCCAGGTAAGTAAATTGCTTTAGCAGCATCTTTCATAAGTAAGCCTTAGGGATCTTATGGTGTGATGGTAGCAACTAAAAGGCTCTCAAAACTGAGAATGCCTTATTTCTTAAAAGTTTGTATGTTGTTAGTAGCATCCTAACGTTCAGCAGATGTGCTGTTAAGGGTAAAAACATACTTGGTTGTCATACTTAGTTTTGTACTTGGTTTAACATACTTAGATGAGCTCTGGCTTTATACATGCTGTCTTAAATGATAAATTTACACATCCTGATTTGCATATATAAAACTTGGGATTGGACACTTCAGCTCACAGCGCAATCCTTTTTTGAGGTTCTGCTTATAACTCACTGAAATACGTACAAATGATGGTGTGCGGTTTTGTGCCTTGCTAGGCTACTTTCCGTGCGCCTGCCAAACTTCAGATTGCCTAAGAACATGAAGTTTAGCAAGAGATCTACCGACTGGGAAGTGATAAACTATAGATGAGTAATTGAATTAAAGACATGAGCCTGAATGAACTGTGACCGGATATGATTATGTGAGAATTGGATACTGGCATTTTAGTATAGAATAAACACTGTACAGGTAGTCCTCAGGTTATGATGGCAGTTGGGACTGGAATTACCATCACTAAGCGATGTGGTTGTAAAGTATGAACTCATGTGACCGCATCGCTTAGCAACAGCAATTCTGGCAGTCCCAGTTGTCATTAAACAAGGACCTCATGTGATTGCAACTTCCTGCTGGCTTCCCCATTGACTTTGCTTGTGGGTAGTTGGCAGGGAATATTGGAAACTGCAATCATGTGACTGCAGTGACAATGCAACAGTTGTAAGTATCATTCATTCAGTGCTGTCATAACTTCAAATGGTCACTGAATGAATGGTCATAACCGAGGACTACCAGTACCATTAACAGTACTTATGTCCTTAGTGGTTTGCTGTACTGTCTATACAAGAACTAATCTGTGTCCTTTTCTCTTCATTAGGCTACTCATTGCAGAGCTCTTCTCCCCTGCCAAGATACTCCCTCTGTGAAGTTTACATATTATGCGGAGGTAAGTAATAGTGCTGTTCAGTGCTTCAGGCTCACTTCTGAAAGGTGCTTTGGAGAGCAAAGGGTCACTAACCTGTCTGTGACTCTTTGAAGCATCCATATCTTATCCCTGGATCACTGGCAACTACAGAGGTCAACTGTATGATCCTGGGGAAAGACGTGGCTTGAAGAGTTTTAAAGAGTTGCAAATGAATGCTACTTTCATGTTCCTGCATACTCTGAAGCACCTTTTTTAAAAATTATTCCCTAAGTCCCTAGTAAGTAAGCACTTCAGGTTGCAAACTGCCTCCCTTTTGTTCTAGGATTAAATAGAATTGATATATAGTATGTCTCAGAACTGAATAGGTTCTGCCAAACAAACTTATTTGAGTAAAGAAATAAAGTTTAAAATTGAAAATGTTCAAGTGGTATCTGTTAGTCTTGGTAGGTACCAAATTTTGATCTTCTGTTTGTAAAGCTCTGTGCTGGCTGGGGAATTCTGGGAGTTGAAGTCCACAGGACTTAAAAGTTTCTGAGATTGAGAAACACTGGTTTAGACCCAAGTGATGGCAGGAGTGCCTGTTCCCATAGACTGTGTCCTGTGCTCTCAGGTCTTTGGTGGCACCTTTTGCAGATCATATCGCAGATACGCGCAAATCTAAAATCCATTCTGCTTTTTCCATGGGAGGATTGTATGATGAAGCAAGCTGCCAGTGGAGCTGAGTGTTTGGGAGAGGGCTCATCTTTTTAGTCCACTGACTGTGTGGTTTCTGCTGATTATTGTATTGTAAAATGCCATTTAGGATTGGGCAGCATACACTTTTATTAAGTACATTTTTAAAAAGCATGGTGTTAACTTGAGTCTCTGCAGCAGGATGCTTCCCATCACAACCTCAATATATTATATTGCTCTTTGTAAAAATTAAAGTTTTCAATACAGTGTTTTAAATTTGTTATAAAGTACATCCTAATGCTGGAAGGGACCAAAAAAGCATAATATTTACAGTCTGCTTCAAGACAGTATTTCCCGTTCACCACTTATAATCCAATTGTAGAATGAACAGATCAACACAAATGTAACAAAAAAAGTTGTGGTAGGAACTCGAAACAGAAGAAGAGGAACCAGAAAGCTGTGGATGAGCATGAAATGTGATAAAAGCTCCAAAATAGTTTTTCTGTGTCATTGCAAAGAAAGTTGGGACAGTATTTCCACATAAAAATGCTGAGATTAGCAGATAATTTGCAGCATATACATGTTCTCCTTGAAATTATCCTGTCTGCTGTATTGCAAATTACATAAAGGGTTACCTTTATGAAAATCTATGATTTATTGATCCTGCCTATTAATGGAACTAGAAATTCCCAGTGTTCTCAAGCCTTTAAGAGCTAAGCTTTAACAAAAAATAAATGGAACGTAACTAGATGCAGTATTGTTTGCATTTTGCATGAATGATTTTTTTTTTTAAATAACACAATAAGCAGAGTAGCAAGATAGGAATATGGTGTGGAGGAACCTTCTATGCTCTGCCTTGATAGAGGTTAGCACCAGTTACCAATTCGAATGAAACCCACAAGAGCTAAATATATGAAAATCCTATTCATATACAAATAAATATTTGTAGCCTCAAGCAAAACCAACATTGATTGAGCATATGTATTCTCCCCAGAGATGAGTATTTTAATAGGGAATTATGCTAAATGACCTAATACTAATAAAAAGGAACAAAAGAACAAAAGTAATTTCTTATAGTTATTTGACAAGCCATAAAAGTTACACATAAATATGTCATAATCAACAAATTGTTATATCAGCAAGACAGCTCAAAAGCCACTTAAAATTACTCAACTCTCTAACAGTTGATAAAAGCCCAATATTACACATTGTCATGTTTGTTCCTTCTGATTTTTTTAAAATGTACTGTGTTATCATGTATTAACACTTGCCAGGCTCCAAGGCATATGGGATTTAAAGATAGCAACTAGCACTTGAATAGCACTAAGAAACACACTGCAACCAGTGCAACTCTTGCAGCTGTGATGTAACAGAGCACTATTGTGATTGGCCAGTAAGTATGCAGGCTGCTGAACTAGCTGAGGCTTCTAGGGGATCTTCAAAGGCACCCTATGCAGAGCAAATTGTAGTAATCTCATGAGATAAAAGAGCCAGTTTGATGTAGTGGTTAAGGCATCAGGCTAGAAATTGGGAAACTGAGTTCTAGTCCTGCCTTAGGTTCAAAGCCAGCTAGGTGAGCTTGGGCCAATCATTCTCTCTCAGCCCTAGGAAGCAGGCAGTTCCAAAATCTTGCCAAGAAAACTGCAGGGACTTGTCCAGGTAGTCACCAGGAGTCAAAAAACTGACTCAAAAGCAAGAGTGAGAGAGAGATAAGTGATGAGTGATGAGTGATGATCTTCAGAGTATCTTGCTCCATATAATGTCACATCCAGAGTACTAGCCAAAGCTGGGCAAAGGCCCTCCTGGCCACATCTTCCACTTACTCATCGAGCAGGTTCTATGAGTCAAGGAGGACCCCAAGGTAGTGCACCTGCTCTCTTTGGGGGATCATAAACCCTCTGGGAGTCATAGATGGTATAGTCCTGGAATCAGCAGGCTTCTGAATTAATATTAACTCTGCTTGCCTGAATTGAATCTGAGTTTGAGATTGTTTTTCTCTATCCAGACCACAGCAGCCTCCATGCATTAGGTAAGGACTTCTACTACATCTCCCATTGGGTCCAGGGAGGAGATGTACAACTAGGTAGCATCAGCTTATTGATGATAGTGCATCTCAAACTGATGGATGACCTCTCCCAGCATATTCATGTAAATGTTAAACAGTATAGGGGAACAAGCCCTGGAGCCCTCTATAAGAGAACATCCAAGGACCCAACCTCCCCCGATCACCACTGACTGACACCATCTGTTCAAGTAGAAGCAGAACTACCATCGCACAGTGCCCAAGTCCTAGCCCTTGCAAGCAGTTCAGAAGAATACTGGGGTTAACATTATTGAAAGCCACTGAGAAGTCTAGAAAGACAAAGGTCATCAGGTTTCCTTTATCTGAATAACTTCTGAGATCATCCACAAAGAGATTTTCAATACCATCTGAGGTCAAGTCTGGAACCAGACTGCCATAGGTCCATATAATCTGCTTCTCCCCAGAACTCTCTGTAATTGCAACCCCACTGCTTTCTTGCTACAATTGCTTTATCCATACTGGCCATATTTCTACCCATTTGGTAAGAGATCCTACCCCTATATGTACATACAGTATAGGGTTTACATGTATGAGGGAACCATGATTGTCCAAGACTCTCCCCTTGCATGAGGACTGCTACATATGTCAAGGCTTTATTTGTACATGCTAAATTCATGGAAGATGCATGTTGTTTTTTAGGACTTGTCTGCTAGAACAGCTCTTTTTGTTTTTTGTAATGGTTATACTTAAAATAATTTTTTAATTAAAGTTGTACACTTAGTTTTCTTGTTAAATGCTAGACAGTGTAATGAAACATTTATTGTAAGGTTATCAAATTGAAGCACCTATTTATAATATGTCTAATCTTGCTTCAATGAACTATTGAGGATGTAGTACAATAGAATCAAAGCTGAAAACATGGCAAGACTTAGAGGGGAGATTGCATTTGAGCATATACGTAATGCATAACAGAAAAGCAAGTCTCTGAGTTGCATTGTTGCAAAATTAGCATTTTAAATAAAAGGGACAATGTTACCATGTTAGATAGAAATTATTGATATGTTTTGTATTTGACCAGATATCTGTTCCAAGTGAATTGGTGGCTCTTATGAGTGCCAAGAGAAATGGAGACTTGCCTGATCCAGAAGACCAAACTAGGAAGATATACCGTTTCATTCAAAATGTAAGGTTATTCACTATGATATATTGTATCATATTATATGGGATGACTTTTTCAGCAAACAGCCATCTAAATTTAAGCTGTCAAACATGCAGGTCTGTTATAATTTTGTTTTTGTTTTTGAAGAGTTAACTTGTTTCCCTTCTTCCTCTGTGTTAGGTTCCAATACCCAGTTACCTGATTGCCTTAGTAGTTGGTGCCTTGGAAAGCAGGTGAGAGCAATATAGTTGAACGCTAAACTCTGGTTAAGTGCATGGGTAGGTATCCTGCATCTCAGCTGTGTGTGGCTCTTGATCACTAAAAGAAGGCTGCCTATTGTCTCTGCTGGACACATCTCAAGCAATGGGCTTGGTATCTGCCAGCCATCTGGTTACGGGATCAGCTGACTGGGAGGAATCAGATTTCAGTTTCTCATTGCAAATGGCAGCAGGAAACTATCAATATTACCAGCTGGTAAGAGGCATCTGCGTGCAACAGGGGCAAGAGCTGAGGGAGAAGAAGGTGCGACGTACTCCTGTTCTTTCCGTGGTGATCAATATATGAGTTGAAGAATAGCCAGGAAACATTCTGGCCCATTAGGAACAAAAATAACTGAGATAATTACCCAGCAACTGTTGCATTTCAACATTATTTACTGCAACCCACTTGCTCTGGTTGATACAATTTAACAGACACTGCCTTGCATAGTAATGAAATCCAAACAGTATTCTTCGTTTATTTGACTGAATTTTGTTCTACAGAGTAATCGGCCCTAGAACTTTGGTGTGGGCTGAAAAGGAACTGGTGGACAAATCAGCTTATGAATTTGCTGAGGTGGGTGAAAATGCTATAATTATTTGACACTTGTATATTGTTAAATAGCTATATGTGCTGGTTTACTTGTTTTTCTTCTGCACAGTCCCACGTTCAAACATTAAGCACTGGCTTGTTTATTCTTGTTTCAGGCTGAAGCCATGCTGAAAACAGCAGAAGATCTGGCAGGACCTTATGTGTGGGGTCAATATGACTTGCTGGTGTTGCCACCATCATTTCCATATGGTGGTATGGAGAATCCCTGCCTCACTTTTGTAACTCCTACCTTATTGGTAAGTTTGACTTTATTATGGATTGCTGATTACTGAATCAGTTTGACCCCATTTCGCTTGTGGAATTTTCACAGAGGCTTGCCTTTTGATAAGGCCTTATAAACTAATTTTTGTTCAAATTAGAACATAATATTTGTCTGGCATGAATAAAAAAAACGAAATTACCCTTTTTTTTTTTTAATCTGTGCAGGCTGGTGACAGGTCATTATCCAATGTAAGTATAAATCTAAATTTACTCATTCATAATGAGGATACACTATACAGAGAAATCCAGATGAGGGCTTGAAGCACTAAATCTTATATAAATACCTTGAGATAACAGATATTATTACTAGCTGTTTAGTTTAAAAATATTCAGTACAATTTAATAAGGAAAATGGCAAAGGTTTTGGTTCCATAGGATTTCATATAGAAAGTTACAACTGACTGAAGCACATTTAAGAGACTTAGAGGATTATATGGAGAATGGGCACTGGAAAAACTTAAGTTCTCCCTCTTCTCCTGGATGCGTCCAGTTGATGGCATTCTCCTTCATGTAATACTGTACTCAGTGCCATAGAAATAAACTAGTAAAATAAAATGTAATTTTGCTCCTGTTTGTTGTCTCTTTGAATTAAAGAGGCCACAATACATTTCTATACATTTCAGGTTATTGCACATGAAATTTCTCACAGCTGGACAGGGAATTTGGTAACAAACAAGACTTGGGAACACTTTTGGTAGGTGAAATCCAAATGTTTTAAGAATTTTATGTTTTTGTTTAAGGGTTTAAGGGTTTGTTTAAAAGATTTTTTTTGTTTTTTTGTTTAAAATACTCACTTGTCTCTTCATGTTTTAGGCTAAATGAGGGGCATACCGTTTATCTAGAACGCAGAATTGGTGGCCAGCTGTTTGGAGAACAATTCAGGCATTTCCAGGCTCTGGGAGGCTGGCGAGAGTTACAAAATACAGTAAGTGATTTATTTATGTATTATTTAAATTTATAAGGCTACTCCCCGGACCCATGACTCTGGGTGGTTAACAAATAATAGAATAACCAATAATAAAAATCCATTTAAAAACAGTTAAAACTCCCCAAGCATCTAGGGGAATTCAACACATGTGTCAACAGAATACCAGGAACGCCTGGCCTGGTATCTATGGGGGCAGAACAAGTTTTCAGCACCTTACGAAATGCCAGCAAGCCTAATGTCATCTGAATCTTCCAGGTAATATGAAGATAATAGGTATAATAATAAATAATAGGAACATGCAAAATTTCAAAGCTGATCTTCAGAAACCCATGTTTAAGAATCATTAAGGAGTAGGAGTCAGATTTTGGACGCAATGTGCAAACTTCCTTATGTTAGAGAGGAAACTTTTCGAGATGGTCTTGCACTATTTAGGGTTTTATAGATAATAGCCAGCACCATTTTGCTTGTACCTGGAAAATGAACCAGAAGTCAGTGTAATAAAAAGGAAGTGTATTTTAAGGAACAAAATCTATCATTTTGGTTGAAACGTTTTACACTTATACAAGTTCCCTCTCACTTTAAAGAACTGCTCCATGTCTGATCTGGATGTGAGCAGAGTAGAAGTAGCAGAGCCCAAAGCTTCATGAGCCAGGAAAGAACCTGATTATTTTATTTTATTTTATTTTATTTTATTTTATTTTATTTTATTTTATTTTATTTTATTTTATTTTATTATTTTATTGTATTCAGTTTGTATAGTCTCC